TCCCTTCTGGCAATAGTGATTGAACACATGGGTGCTCTACCACTTAACTACATTCCCCAGACCTTTTCATTTTTTGAATCAGGGTGTGACTAAGTTGTCCAAGCTAGCCTGAACCATGTGATCTTCCTGCTTCAGGCTCCCAAATTGTTGGGATTATAGGTGTGTGCTACTGTGCCAAGCTATACTTTCTTATTTTACATCAGGAATATATTACCATAATTGTATTCAGTATAAAGCTCAGGAGCATAATATCACTGTGAAACAACTTGTATTCTTAAAAGCATGGATTCAAAGCCAGACAGACCAGGCTTAGGATCTCAGATCCAACTTACCAGAAGTTTAGTTTGGGCCAATCTCTCTCTGCCTTACTTCCCTCATTTGTAAACTCATAATAATTTTTACAGTATAGTGATCACATAATTTATGTCTAAACTGGGAAATTTATGTCATTGAAAGGAGCATTATTATTAAGCTTGAACAAGTGGCATAAACCAGGACCACTCCAGGCAAACCCAAAAGTATTGTTCTTTTGAGAAGATTAAATGAGAAAATATAGCAGTTAGCACAGAGTCTGAAACATGATAAGTGTTCAGTAAATATTAGCCAGTCTTAGTTTTAATTACTAAATTGAAAAGTTCCATTGTCAAAGCACGATCTTCTTTTAACATCTGACATGCTTTCTTATGAGAGAATAGAGGGCTCAAATGAGAGTTTAAAATTTTTTCAAGGTTGAGGAAAATCTTAATTGTAAGTCAAACGACCAACTCCTCTAAAGGGAACAATATTGGCAGACACTGCCAAAGTTCCTAGTTATAAGATTTTCTAATGATAGTGTGTGACTTATATGTTCTTAACATTATGGACTGTTTTTACTATTAAAAGCATTAAGGGAAGAATCATAATATTTTATGATTTAGTATAGCATTTGGTCTGAGGTCATTTAGTTTTAAAAAATTGTGAGGACTGCAAAAAAATTTTTGTGCATGAGTCATATTTACCAATATTTACTATATTAGAAATAAAAATTGAGAAAATTAAAAAAGCATTCATTTATTTAAAATAACAATAGCCACATTATAATTTAACCCATTTCAATGAAAACAAAATATTTAGATACGAAGCTTATTGTTTTACTTTTCTGCAAATCTCTTTATTGCCTAGTTTAATGTAACTGAAACTAGATCCTCAGATCTGCCTTTTTATGCTATATGTTGCAATATGTGGTTTTGGTGGAAATACATGAATAAGAAATGTTGTTGCAAAAGGGAGGAATATTTTAATAGCTTTTCTAGATAATTATGTTTATTCTCTGATAATATAACAAAACAGCATGGTAGTTTCTTTCTTTCTTTCTTTTTTTTAAAAATAAGTGCCTTTATTTTTATTTATTTATTTTTAGAGAGAGAGAGAGAGAGATTTATTTATTTTAGTTTTCAGTGGACACAACATCTTTGTTTGTATGTAGTGCTGAGGATCGAACTCCAGGCCTCAGGCATGCCAGGCGAGCACGCTATCCCTTGAGCCACATCCCTAGCCCCAGCATGGTAGTTTCTTACAGGTTCCTTACAAGTGAAATATGAAATGTCAATGATCTTTTTGTACTTTGCTACATTAAACCCCATGTCCATCTTGCACTTTCAATGAATCTTTTTACTCATTTTGTAACATCATCCATTGTTCATTTGGAAAATACTGATTCACTGACTTATGCAGATATTCCAAATGTTTATGCATTTCAGAAACTAAATACGTTAGAATATTCTAGAAAAAATATGACATCACAAGCACACATTCCATTTACTATCAGAATGATGATGTCATCATGTCATAATGATGATGTCATCATGTCATAACGCCCCTGGAAAACTCTACTATATATTTGTGAGAGAATGACAGTTAAAAAAAGAGAAACTATTTCTCATTATTATGAAAATAGTTCTAATTATGCATATCCACTGAAAGGGTCTTACTACCAGAGTTTGCTTTTAAGAATAGCTGATATGGTATGATATGACCTATCAGATAAACAAAGAAAGTAAAAAACTTACCATCTCACTTAAAAAGCAAAACAAAACAAAAACACACAACCACATACAAAAAACAAAAACAGCAAAATACAAGAATATATTCCCAGTGGCAATTTCAAATCTTTCCATGCAGGCAAAAATAGGCTTATAGAAACACCTAGCCTTTAATGTGAAGCCATTTCCATTTTCTGGAGTTTGAATACCATTAATTAGGAGTATTTAAAAGTACGCATTTGAGTAGTAAGCTCAAAATGCTCTATTCACAGAACCCCCTTCCCAAGAT